AACTGCCGCGACCTGCATCAGTAGAATTGGAAGTGCATGAATTCCACTCAGACACTGGTGTTTGTGTCAGTTCTCCCTAGTTCTCATTTCAGTCCAGTCCAATTCAAGCCTCCCTCCATCAGGCACTCCTCAATGCAAAGTTTGAAGAGTCCCCGGGAAACGATGAACTTTTTCGTCAGAATTCGGAATAACCATGGAAACACCATGTTGGATGGCCTAATGCATACAAGCTGTACACTAAACAAGGACCGATTATTACTGTACGGCACACTTGTAAAACAACAACCGCCACCACTACTACATTTGCCGTTGCGAAGAACAAGAAAGTGTCTAGCTTGTGGAGCAAACTGTAATCTGCAACTGGTTCTATTTATGCTCATTGGTCACTAGTCGCTGACCCATCTGTCATGTACTTTCTTTGCTCCATCAGCACACATGCCATGTGACAACTGGCTATCCCTAGCACTAAGTGTCGAAATACCAATAGTAGTAATGTGAGTACCATCTAACTAGTAGAGTAGTATTCGTTTGTATAAGATAACACACGGTTGAGTGTTGCTCCGTAGTTCGTCCACACTTTGCTACCAATTTCCCTTACTTTGCAACTCTTCACTCATTCTCAACTCCTTTAACAACCGCGGACCCTTTCCAATCAACCACATACACAAACAATGTAGCAGAGCACACAATCAGCCCTACCCCGGGCACATTCTCAGACCCGACAGTCTCATCGGACCTGTTCTGACCATGTCAAAATGCGAATGTGTGCGCTAAACGATGAGGCCGAAATGATATGGCCGATTGCCTGGATGTCAAACAAACGCTGTCAACAATGTGAAAACTGCCAACCCACAACCTCTGTAATCATTCTTTTGTTTGACTTACTCTCGGACCAAGGGTCGTGTAGATGGTTCCCCGAGGTTCATATGCATACAATCAGATCCCAGAGAGACAGGTATGTGCCTAATCTAAAAATAGAAACAATGTTACCTAATTAGTGCATCACTGTGGACAGTTAATGTTCAGTGGTACGTTGATGGTTTGAAAGCAAGATCAACTAAAAACTGCACAATTCTTAGTGATTTAACGAATACGTAGCTATGGAACGACCTCACAGTAAATTCTAGGGCAAGGGTTATGTGAACATTTACACTGGTGTGCAGCAGACTAAGGCGGAGGAAGATGGTCTACTAGCATTAATCCCGTCAGTGAATAGTCCGTTTTTGCCGTTCTGGAACTTCTCGGTGGGCGCTGACTGCATCGACTACTGATTGCTGCGGTTCATCCAATAGGAAAAATCACACGTATATGTGAGAGTTGAACCGTTGTGAAATTCATGTGACAGGTTGCGCTCACGACACGTTGGTTTGAACAAAGCCCAGAGCACGTGGGTGCGTGAGGTGTGACTGGAAAAGCAAGTGAGCGGTTTCTATTGTTAGAAATTTCAACTTACTTGCTACTCTTGGTACTCGATTAAAAGAAGGTGGAGTGAAGACAGAAAATGACGTCGTTTCTTGATAAACTACGAAAGTTTGACCATTGGGTATTTTGTGCGGGCCACAGGTGTGTCTGAAACACATGCATGCACCACGGAAATGGGTGTAGCTAACGCTATTGAGAATTATAACAATGAACGAGTTTTTGCTACAACAAGACCGTTTGACTTGCTGCAGCATACATTCAACCCTTCGGGGACATCTGGATGTTGCCACGGTGCTACAGGTGTTTCACCTTGGCGCATGCTAATCAGGCCTACCGTATCCGTGGTGAAAAATCATCTGTTATGCGTCCGCCGGGTGAGATGCAGCTGCCCGGATGACAAAGTTTTCACTACTTCTATCACTTCCCCAGTTGGGAGCTGAACGAACCTAGTCCTGCAGCAAAATTTGGTAATTTGAGAGTGCAAAACGGTAGTAGTGAGTAGTATTCGAAATGTAGTTTCGGAATTCGCGCAATACCGATCTCACAAAATAGAACAACTTCGAATGAAATAGCACATGTAATTTATTCGAATCGTATACTCTGCGTATTCAATACATTAAAAGTGTACCGTAACTTTACCGAGGTCAGTTCCAAAATTCGCACTCGCCGCACCCTGAATTGACCACAGGGTTTCTGTAATCCAGTCGTGGCTTCGCACTCAATCGTTCAGACCCTCTTATAGCTCTTTCATTCACGGATAATTCTTCCGCAGCAGCTTGTTGTTCAACATTCTGTTCATTAGCCGTTTCGAATTGCTCAGAATCGAAGGAAACGTTATTAAACTCGGAAAGTTCATCATGAAATGGAACTGACTGACTTCGAATGTCAAGATGAATTTGATCCACTTGTCGAGCAATGGAAGCATTCGGCGACCTAAATAGTTTACGAAAATTCCTGAAAAGGGTCTCAGGTTATTGCCACGAAAAAATAACTTCAAAAGGATTAACACACAATAAATTGGATCTCAAATTTTGACCTTTGGAAAGCTTAGCGGGTGTTTTTTTAGTGGAAGAATGAAAAGAATTATGGTATTGTAAAAAGAACAGGTCAACACCTCTCTCAAGTTAAGAAAATGTGGATGGATTCAAAGCAGTAACATCAATCTTGAATGTTCTTAAAAAATTCTCTGATTGACCATTAAACCAGGGGTATCTGGAAGTGGTAAACAAATGTTAGCGCCCAATGTCATGCAGCCATTCTGAAACACTTCTCGCGGAGAAATGACTGCCATTATCAGTAACAAGTATAACAGGAATACCCTACTGGGTGAAAACTTTACGTAAGGCATGAATAGTAAAATCTGATTAGGGTGACCTAGTGAAGAATACCTCTGACCACTTAGAGAAGGAGACAATAACAACAAGAGTATAAATTCCATTGAGAAATGGACCACAATAATCAACATGAACACGTTGTCAAGCCTCCGTCGAAACAGGCCATGGAACCCACTTGGATAGTAACCGTCGAGCGCTGTGATAGCATTTAGGGCAGCTCTTTGCTTTGGAACACATGTCGGTATCCATGTTCAACAAGTTCACCTAGCGAATGACTGCATCTTTTCTATCCCAAAATAACAGGAATGTAAATCTTCAAGTACGGCCTTACACAACGTTGGTGGAATAACAACTCTGTCTTTCAAACACAGTAATCCATCAAGGCGTAATTGAAAGTTCATCACGTCTAGCATAGTGATATGAAAATCGCTTCCGGGTCTGCGCATTCCAACCCTTTTTCACGGCAGCTATCAAAGCGGAGAAATAAATTCTTGACGGCCCACAGGGAGAGGTTGTACCAGTAGCGAATCAGAAATGTCATCCGAGTCACAAGCGCGTATCGATTGACATGAAATATAATCCACGTGTCGAATGTGTTTGTCACTATGATGTTCAAATGTGTAGTCATATGCACTGAGATGCTCCAATGCTGAACCATAGCTGCAGAGCTTCTGGAAAGGGATTTCCCAGGATCGAAAATAAATTTCAAGGCCTTATGTTTGGTAACGACGATCAAAAAGGAACTTGTAGTGGCGTTTGGCTGCCCAATATACAGGCTTCGCGATGAGTTTAAGCATAACCTCGTTCAGCTTTTGTTAACCGTCGAGAAAAACAAATAACTGGATGCCCACTTTGTTCAAGAATAGCACCAATCCCAGCAGGTGACGCCTCAATAATAACAGCAGAGTGAATTTTGGGACTGAATGGATGAAGTACAGCTTCGGTCTGTAGAAAACGCATCAATTCAAGTGAGCAATGTTCATGAGCGTCAGTCCAAGCAAATTTGTCGGAAGATGAGTGCAAAAATAAGAGTGAAACTTTCTGACTGACATTAGCGATAGATCTAGAACAGTATTGTAAGGCTCCAATCAGGGATCTTAGTTCGTGTACGTTGGGCGGTAATTTGGCTTTCGTCGAAGCAAGCAGGCGGGTTAGGTTTGTAACCCTTATCATCAACTAGATATCCAAAACATTTAAAATGAGAAACAGAAAATAAACGCTTCTTAGGATTTACGGAAACATTTTTATCAGAAAACATACGAAAGAGCTGAAGTAATCGTGCATCATGAGTGGACTTGTCTGGAGCATGAACAATAATGTCATCTTGATACACTTCAACACCAGACATACTACTAGTAATGTCATTCGTAACTTGTTGGAAAATGGCGGGATAATTGAATAAACCAAACCCCAGGAACTTATATTTGTACAAACCAAACGGAGTAATAATTGTTGTCAAAGTGGAGGTTCCGTCTAATGGGATTTGTAGATAAGCAACTTTCAAGTCAATCTTGGACAAGACCTCCGAAACATTCAACTTATTCAGAATGTCCTCTGGTTTTAAAGTTGTATAAGTCTGTTTTAACAGTCTTGGATTCAGGGTGATTCAGTAGTCACCACATATTCTATGGGTCATGCCACCCAACTTGATTGGTGTACCCCATGTTGAAGACGCCACCTTCTCGATAACACTTTTGGAACACAAATGGTTCAGTGCATTCAAGACAGGTCCACGTAGGCCACATGCAATAACCCGGCGTTTGAAAAGAACTGGATAGCCATTAACTGATAGTTTCACTGTGGGAATTTTCACGCCACCACTGGCCTTTGAGCATTCAATGATCAAATCCTTCAGTTCATTTTCAGTACCAATAGAAGTTAGCAAGGAAAGATTGACATTAAGTGCTTGCATACATAGACTTCAAGCCTAGGATGGAGGGGCCAGACTTGATTACAATGAATGTACAGATGGCACTTTTAGAATGTTCATCAATGACTGAACTCACACAAGAACCAACAACAGGCAACGAATGTCCAGTGATGCCATTTATGATGACAGTGGATGGCTGCAGTTTATCATCTAGAGCAAACAGTTTTAAATCGTGAACAGAAATTACAGACTCCATACTACTAGTGTTCAAAATTAAATTAAGTGAGTTACCCAAGGAACGGGAGAGTTGTTTACGAATGTGGCCAGAATGGGAGGTAACTGCCAAAGACAAAGAGGAAAAATGTTTGTCTATGTCACACACTTCTGAGTCTTTGGAATGAATTAAACGACAAGTTGTGCCACACTGGTGACATGAAGCGTAACGGAATCGATGTGTATTTAGAATGACGTTTGCCGCAGGATGCATAATAGCCATAGGACTTATCCGAATATGTTACATGAGCGAAAGTGTGTAGCTGAGTTGAAACTTCCAGCTGAAGCATGAACTTTCGGGAATTGGTTTTGACTGAACTAGACATATTAGTAGATTCGACTGTCGATGGCATAGAAGAAGTAGAGGCGCGAATATCCCGACATTGTTCACAATGTGCCCGCACATCTTTGAACGTTGGATTGCATAGTTTCAGAAGTTTGTTTTGCAAAATACCATTGTTAATGCCGGCAATCAGCCGTTCTTTCAACTGCATATGCAGTAAGCCAACAAAATCACACTCTGCAGCTCGGGTGATTAATTCCAGGATGAATTCATAAATGTCCTGGTTTGGATTACGTACCATGGAATGGAATTTTGATCTTTCTGAGGCTTTAAAGTTGGTAGGCTTCATCTGATGTATGAGGTGGGATTTTATATCCTCGTACGGCACAGAAACAGGTGGAGAAGGATAAGCCAAATTCTTGATTAGAGTATAAGCATGTTTATCGACAGCATTCAAAAATAACACGGATTTCTTTTCCTCATCGGGCTTCGAACGAGCCAACGACTAAATCTCAAAACGTTCAAAATAAGCCTCGATATCTCGTGCACCGAAGTTAAGATCTACGGATTCTAATGAAGTCGAATTCGTTGTTCAGTAGACCGGCAGTGACGCGAAATATAGTATTTGAAATATAGTTCTGGAATTCGCGCAATACCGATCTCACAAAATAGAACAACTTCGAATGAAATAGTACACTAATTTGTTCGAATCGTATACTCTGCGTATTCAATACATTAAACGTGTACCGTAACTTTACCGAGGTCAGTTTCATGCGTCACAAAAACGCTTATCGGCTCTAAAAATGCCGGTGCCGAATAACTGCATCACAAAGATCTGCAACATGGATAATTCCCTTAATCAAATGCTGTCATTAGATCATATAACTAAGCACCGATAAAAAGCACCACTTCGTCCTGTGCTAGAAATAGCTCAGACCATACTATTGTGGCCCGTTCCAATTTTCGCACCTAGGTAAGCAGGTGTGGATACTGCAGGTCATTCGGGTGTTCCCCCGGAGACCGCTGGACTCATATGACAAACAGAAGCTATTGTTATTCTGGAATTTCACTTGCATTCTAGTTGCTGGACCCGGTCCATTACTCACATCTAACATTAACACTGGCGGTGATGGCTATCATCACTTTAACCTAAGAGGTTTCGGGTTTGCTGCTTTTGCTTAAATGTAAACACTGCAACCTTTACACCACGACAAGAGAACTCGCAAGTGCCCATAAACGGATTACTAATTTTTAAAAGCACAGTGACTGCAACACAATTAAGCGTGGAGGAAAAGGTGAGTTCACATGAGTGGAAGCAAAGGCGAGCATTGAAAATAAAGGGCACAACACGATATTAACCCCGATCAAATTCCCCGCGATTTCTCTGTATCCAAACCACTCACATTAATCAAATATGATATGAAGATACAACCCATCACTTTATAGAGAAATCAAGTGGATCTTGACTGTTTTTGCTAAACTGATTTATTCTAGAAAATGTGCACCCGGGGGTGCGAAATACGATTAACTCCACCAACCAGGGGAAGATGATGAAAAATTCCAGTAGTTACAAAACACGTCACCTGTTACCATTCAAGACTGACATATAATGCGATGATATACCTCCGACCGGGCTCCAGATTGTCCGAAGTTCGAAAGTGTGCCATACACGAAGGATATGTCTTCAATAGTTGGGCAATGTGGAATACCGTTCCATGTGTGCAAACCTCCTCATGGACGCACCCCACACATTGTCAATGGGGTTCAAATCTCGACTGTGAACTGACCGGTTCATGGCCTGTATGTTCCGGTACACCAACCACATTCTATTCACGTGGCCTCTATATACCTGGAGGCATTATCGTGTTGGAAGATCATGGTTCCCAATCGATTTTCTGGAGTCGTCGAACAAGAAACTTGTTTAAGGAAGTTACATTCAGCCATCTGACTTCCTTCGAGAATCACCAAATGAGACTTTCCCTCCGCAAAAAGGGCACCACAGACAGATCTCCTACCGAAGACTAACTTGCTCTTATATATGTAATGCCAGTGGTACATGAGTCCCTCAGGATCGTTGAGGTTATGTTTTTGTTCGTCGCTGACTATCACAGTTCTATCCGGAAGTTTAGTCGATGAAACTTCTAACCCACGAAACCCTCAAAATAAAATATCGGTCGATTTGTTTTCCAAAGATTGACTTTATCTCTTTGAATTGTAAATTTGGTGGGGTTTGTAGCAGTTACTGTACGCGCAGCACACTCGCCCAAGTGATCGCTGTTACACTCGCGCAATTGTTGCCTGATCTGAAGCATCTGCCTCACGCCTTGACAATACATCTTCCTTCGAGTTCCGTGTTTATT